CGTACCGTACGGTTAAAACGTAACGTAAGTTAACGTACTTAGTTATCTCTCTCTACGAAGTAAATACTATATATATATATATATATATATATATATATATATATATATATATACACACACACACACACACACATATATATATATATCGTTGAAAAAAAAACTTCATATGTGACCTTTACAGTGGGTACCACTACATTTTAGCCACGACTATTTTCGAGAGACGGCACATTCTTGGCATGCTGCCAGGACCTTGTGTTCTTGAGCACTGTCCTCGCCACCTGGTAGGTTTTTGCTTAGCAGTAGGGGAGATTCCTGCCATGACACACTCTTTAAAATATTATTAATTTTATTTTTTCGATGAAAACCTCTGCAGTCATCTCACAAGAGTGTACTTTAAAGCGAAGCACGAAAAGTACATTGCAAATTAAAAACATAAAATATGTATTTTTTCTCCCTTTCGCAGACGTAATGAAAAAAATAAATAGTTGGTGAAAATGAGTGACGAATGAATAGAAGGAACATCTTAAACATCGAAATAAAACCAGTAAAGTACAAGAAGTATGCGTAGCTATATTTGTAACAGGTAAATAACTTGTGTATATTTTATTCATTCCAGCTTTCACCATTTTACAATGTAATTCTAAATATGAATAACGTATATTATGGCCCATATCTACATCGTTTCCTTTTGATCAATCGGTACAATGATACATAAACGGTTAGGTTTGTTCTATGTCTACGGTTTCGGCTGTATGGTAGATAGCAAAATGAATACTATATCTGATAAAGGAAAGTTATAATTTGCTGCGAATTCGTGTCGCAAATGCTGTAATATAATATATTTTTATAGCAAGCTAAACGAGCTAGTAACTTTTTGTTTATTGATACTGATTGGTTACCAACATAAGACGACCTTAATTACGCTTTCCTCGCCTTGGGATCACTGACATTGGTATTTAACAACACTTACTACACTCAAAGTACAACGATGTAATTTTAATAATCATGTTTTCCAACATTAATGTCTGACTCAACACACCAATCCTTCGTGCTACGACTGATTAAAACAAATGTGAAGCGATACATATTTTCTATTCAGTGAAATATAAATTACAATCAAATGTGAAAGGCTTGACTACGTTTGTTAAAAGTATGTTCAGTGAGCTCTTTGATGTGGGACAGAGTGTTTGGAAATACACCAGTCTTTTACTTGTATTAGGTCTCTGAGAGATCTATGTGATCTTTGTACATTAAAAGACTACTCCAAAGAAGATAAAACAAAACTTGTGGAGCAGACACGTTAAAGAGCAACACCATAAACACATAAATCACGTATAAAAGAACTAATCAGAGAAGTAAATCGCGAAATAACCGCCACAAAAGAGAAATCTAATGAAGACAAAGTAATTGGAACAGTTTTTTGTTGTTGTTTTTTTAGTTATATATATTAAATTCGTAATGACTTTCATTAAATAACCTTTGATTATCAGATTTTTTAGGTTATAAGTCTTTGATTTGGGGTGGATTTTATGGACTTCACTAGAATTACGTTTGACTGTTAAGTCTATGAGGCTCTGTTGAGTTGAGTTTTGGATAAGCTTTTTTTTTTATATTACAACTGACGACTTGTGGTAAAGTTGGAAGGAACTGAAAATAAACAAATTTGCACACTTACTGGCTTACTTTGATGTTTACAGGACACCCCACCAACATCAGGACCACCATCCCCAAACAGTAAGCAAACGCCGCTAGGGCTATCCATGCAGCCACAATCCGGGCACTTGGTTTGAGTCTTCTCATCAAAGTTCCACTGAAGAAGATCCCCACACCCATAACGAGTATGCCAGCCATCCCTGAAATGAAAGAACGTTATTTAATCCGAAATCCAGTGAAAATATTTTAATGTTTTTATTTAATCTTCATACATGCATATTGAATTTATTCATTATACTTCATTCGATTCTCTAATGAGCCTCAAAATTACAATAAGAAAAAATTCCCCTAAAAACAAACTAGTTTTGAAGCGAAGGAAGTAACTGGTAGGTTAACTAGTAAACAAGATTTACTTTACCGTGCCAACATACTGAAAGTTACTCAAAATGTCAATAAATAGGTTAAACAAAAATTGTAGCGTAATTCTGACCTAAAAATATCAGCCTCAAATAAATAGATTGGGGCTACGTAGGAAAGCTTTTAACGCAAAATAATATATATATCTACATGTTAAATTGTGATTTTATAATCAAGAGTTATATTGCTACTGTCTGTATTTACATCTATACTTACATATACATTTTAGAACTACAAGTGATGTAGAAGATTACAGCATGCTACTTAGTATTACCAGATAGTACGTTGTAGAAGGGGAAAATCTTTGAATTTGTATAAAAAGTTAAATACCAACTCTAAACTTGTAGCCTATTTCATTTCGCATCTCTGATTGGTGGAAATCCTGAACCCGTTTTATTGAGATTTTTCTTAAAATGGCCTACAAATCAAAGGTATGAGAAGCATAACAAAATAGGAATTGTTAGGTTTGTCTAACTATAGGCGATGGGAAACCTGTGCTAATAGTGTATATTGATATGATAGTTACTTTTTCTTCTCTTTAACGTATTTTATTAAGAAAATCTTATACAAACCAGAATAGCACTAGACCGTGGCCTCCATCTGTTGATAATGGTACCAGCCAGCCTAACGTAGTAGCATATTTTGAGGTTTTGTTTGCAATTAAGCACAAAGCTACAGAATTGGCTATCTGTGCTCTGCCCACTGAAACCCGGATTCTAGCGTTGTAAGTCCGCAGACTTACCGCTGTGCCACTGGGTGGCGCATATTTTGAGAACCGTTACCTTTGTTAGAGCATATGTCTTTTATTTTACTTTCTGTACAATTTAAACTTTTGATTCACAGCACTCTGAAAGGGCAACCAGGTGATCCATTAAGCAGCTCATCATCCGCGTCCATATTGGAAACATTGTTGCATGATGCATTTCTATTCACTCACTTAGTGTTTACTGCGATACAGAAATCTGCCGCGTATGTCCTAGTAATTCTTGGTTTTAGAAATTGTTAATTTTCTAGTAATTATTAGTAAAAACGGCCGGGTATGGCCAGGTGGTTAGGGCGCTCGACTCGCAATCTGAGGGTCGCGGGTTCGAATCCCCGTCACACCAAACATGCTCGCCCTTTCAGCCATGGGGACGTTATAATATGATGGTCAATCCCACTATTCGTTGCTAAAAGAGTAGCCCAAGAGTTGGCGGTGGGTGGTGATGACTAGCTGCTTTCCATCTAGTCTTACGCTGCTAAATTAGAGACGGCTAGCGCAGATAGCCCTCGTGTGGCTTTGCGCGATATTAAAAAAAAAACAACAAACAATTAGTAAAAAATGATATATAGTTAACGTAAGACGATTTTGTTTCTTAATTTAATATAACAAAGCGCCACTTGTAAATCCCCTCCCCCCGGAAAACGATAAACATATTTATTTCTTTATTCATTATTGATTTAGACTTTTCTCCCTCCCCCCAGAAAAAAATTATGTAGACGCCCGTGAATATCGGGACTCTATTTCATAGAAATTTTATTTTTGCGCAAGTTGGCGTGGCTCGTCGAGTTTAATTATTTTTACTTAAAGTTAAATACAAGTAAAAGTTTGTTTCAGGACACAACTATAGATTTCGAGAAATTCCTATATGAAAAACCGCTATTTTTTTCGTGGTTATGCTCATAGAGATACTTGAGTATTGTAACAAAACAGGATATAAAATCCGAATGTAGCGCCACCCAGTGTTTCAACGGTAAGTCTGTAGGCTTATTACGCTAAAAATCGAGTTTCGATATCCGTGGTGTATAGAGCACAGATAGCTATCTCATTGGGTAGCTTTGCACTTGACAACAACCAAATCAATTGTTGCACTATTCCAAGCGAAACTTATATATATTTATAATGGCAAATACTTATAAACTTTAAATCAGAATATCATATTTTTGAACCTGGTCGTTAGGACTTGTTATGTAATGCAGTGTCCTGGGTTCTTCTCGCTAATGAAACAAAAAAAAAAAAAAACATGTTTGATAACCTCATTGCATAATAAGTGGTAAAAATTAATAATATTAGGGCACAAAAAGATTAACATAACCACAGGTAAGAGTTAACAATGTTAGGTCACAAAAAATGGATTAATCCCTTTGAATATATGCTGTTTTTAGAACATTATGCTGACCTATTACTAAATGTTTTTCTCAAAAGAAGGAAGAGGGTAATCACCGAGCGACCTAAAATAATATTGAATTCAACAGGTTCTAGACCATTGAAAAACACTGAAAAAAAAACATTATCCAAAAAGTTTAATGGCAAAAATAACTTAATACTGCCAACTATGTTAAGCTCAATGGGCTGATTTTATGAGTTTATTAGTGGTGTTAGGCCTTATTGACATTAACTAAGTTAAGCTTAATTGATTCAATTTATGAGTTTGGTAGGAGTAAAATAGATTGTTAGGCCTTACTGTCATCAAAATTTATTTGTCAGAACGTTTTGAACCATTCAATATAGTGCTTCTCATAAAATTAGATTATTACGAAAACTGGAAATAGTGAAAAATGATATATTTTAAGGATGTAATTTTGATGATATCATTAATTTATTACTTTTCGGTTAAAGCTTCTCACTTGAGATTGTTGGGCATAAACCAAAATTACAAATAATGTCCATTAAAACTAGTAGGCCGAGTATAACCTGGTGGTTAGTATGTTCGAACAGTGAATTCGAAGATTCGTCTCACGTTGCGGCAAATCGCGTTCCGAGTTTTGGGACCGTGAGTGCGATATATAAAAGTGGCGGTCAGATTCAACTATCAGGTCAGACAAGAGAAGTCCGCGGGTTGCCGTCCATCTAGCCTACCGATTCAAAATTAAGAACGGCTATGGATAGATATCCCTTGTGTAGTTTTAAAACAAACAAACAAGCAATCTTTTTGTCTTCATTCCAGTCACATTCTAACGCGAGATACACTTTCCTAACGCGAGATAAACTTTCCTAACGTGAGATAAACTTTCCTAACGTGAGATACACTTTCCTAACGTGAGATAAACTTTCCTAACGTGAGATACACTTTCTTAACGTGAGATAAACATTCCTAACGTGAGATACACTTTCCTAACGTGAGATACACTTTCCTAACGTGAGATACACTTTCCTAACGTGAGATACACTTTCCTAACGTGAGATACACATTCTTAACGTGAGATACAAATTCTTAACGTGAGATACACTTCCTAACGTGAGATACACATTCCTAACGTGAGATACACTTTCCTAACGTGAGATACACATTCCTAACGTGAGATACACATTCCTAACGTGAGATACACATTCCTAACGTGAGATACACTTTCTTCCTCCTACTAGCATTTTGTATTTATTTTGTGAAAGACAAAAAAAAAGTTTTCATTTGTTTCTGTAGCGTTAGGTTTAAACCTGTCCTACCAGATATTATATTGGCTTTAGTGGGGCTCAGCTGGAACTGGGTCTCCAGGTATTTTGGGAGAAATGTGTACAACCCTGCTATAGGCATGATGTGAAGAACGCTGCTGGCTGTCCGGCATAGCAGTATCTCGTTTTTAAGCAGTCGTCTCATGGCCTGTGGAAAAGCTAAAATAGATAGAAACATAATTACCAAAAACCAACATTTTTGTTATATTGTATAAACAGATCACTTTTAGTAAGACGTTATCACCTTAACTCAACATGTTTATTTTTTTTTAATTACAAGTTTGTGTATTTGTGTGTGCGTGTTTGTTAGTTAATGGTGATAGATCTAAATGTTTAATTATTTGCAAAATTCTAAGTAATTGAGAAGGAAGGCCATGCATACTTGTGTAGCTATTATATGCCACCCTGACCATGTTTGTTTTGTTTTGTTTGGGGGAGGGGGGGTTACAAATGTTAATCTTTACCACATTACTTTAAAGGAGACTAGATGAGTCATTTGACAATAGTTTCGACGTGTTTCTTGGATGACAGTTTTCTCAGTTGCTAATGATAACTGAAACTATATTTTTGGTTTTTATTTTTTCCAAGGTTTAAGTTATTTGAATAATTCTGTACAATTCATCTGTGAACGATGTAATGAAACATTATCATTTCTACACCAAAATAACATAAGTGCAAATTTACAAACGAGTATATTTTATAAATTCACTAATTCACATACGAATTTATATTTTTTTAGAAGGCAACCGAAACGTACAAGGTACTTTTCTTGGTTATTACAGAGTGGTTATAAATGAAACCTCATCTTGAAATATTTATATCCTAAAAACTACACACCCTAAGGGGACAACAAATAACCAAAAAACACATTAAGGATCATAAGTTGTATTCAGAAAAGTTTGAACGTGGTGTAAGGTGTTTAAAAACTATATTACATTGTGTAACTAATTCGCTTTTCTCATAAATTAGCATTACGTTTTAACATCAACCGCATAGTTCAGCTTGACACTTATGTAGGAAGTCTTGGCGGACTAATTTACACAAATTCTTTCACCTGCGCCCCTCGGGGGAACAGTTTACTGACTTACAACGCTAAAATCTGGGGTGAAATTCCTCGCGGTGGACATAGCAGATAGACTAATGTAGCTTTGCTCAAAACCAAACAAACAAATCTTTCACCTGAACTACTTTTGTTGGTTAGTTTTTCAAGATGTTCTCTTCAAATATCTAGATGAACTAGGCATTTCCTGCCCATTTCACTTTTGTTCGTTCATCAAGAAGCTCTGCCTAAATCATCTGTCAAGTAATGGCATTTCGCTTATTTCTCTTCTGATTCTTTGAGCAATGTGAAGTTTACGATTTGAAGAAAATGTATATCAATGGACAGGATATTGCGAGGATCGATGAGTACTGTCCAGAACGGATGATGCTTATAGTAACTTTATTTAGGGTTAGGCTTAATGTAGTAATTAAGAATGGAGAAGAGCTTATTGAATATCTTCGTGACAGTTTTCGAAACACACTGTAATGGATGATGCTTATATCAACTTTATTTAGGGTTAGTCTTAATGTACTAAGTGAGAATGGAGGAGAGCGCATTGAACATCGTGACAGTTTTCGAAACTGTAACACGTATACGCTTTATTGAATAAAACTTAATAGTTCTCATTGTGGCTGTGGTGAAATTCGATCTCAAAGTATTAATCTTTCAAAACATATTAATTAAAAACAGATATTTTCTTTATCGTCACCCCTTAATTATCCGTGTATTACAATAATCCAACCTGTTAAGTGAAACTAACCTTGAAAGAATAAGAAACTATTAATTACACAGACTTGCGAATTTAAACGTCATAAAAGTTGTTTTGGTTTTAATAAAGGATTTTCCATACTTCAGCTACGTAGATTTCGAAAATAATATTCACTTTTTTTGATCACGTAAAGATTTTTTTACAAATTGGAAAGAAAAAAACTCTTACTTAGATCAAATTATTATTTCGTTTACCACAATAAACTTTTATTATTATATTTGTTAACAAGAATACAAACAAACTGAAGAAAAGGGAAGAACATTGATGTTAAACGAATATGCATCTTCATTCATCCTGATTTTTGTTTGTGTGAAATCTACGTTTTTTAGTCTCAAAACTACGTGTTGTGGTCTTTCTTTTATGTATTGCGTCTGGAGCATTTCGTTTCCATGACGAGCAGTAATCAGTCATCATGCTGATGTTCCACCTTCCCTGATACCTACTTTCCATTTCCGCGATGTCTTGATGAAATCTTTCCCCTTGTTCTTCGCTGACGGAACCGAGATTTTCAGGGAAATAGTCAATATGTGAGTGCAAGAAATAAACTTTCAAGCTCATATTACAATCCAACTCTTTGAATTTATCGAGCATGTTATTGACAATATTTTCGTAATTTGGATCCTTGTTGTTTCTTTAAAAAATTGTCAATAACATCTTTAAAGGCAATCTACGCTTCTTTTTCAACTTTCCTCATTTTTCTTTCGAACTGTTCATTCGAAGTCAATTTCCTAACCAGAGGCCCAACAAAAATCCCTTCAAGTTTTGCTTCTAAAAGAGCTGGGAATTGCCACATAGATACTTGAAACAGTCGCCATCTTTGTCTAAGTCCTTTACAAACTGCTTCATCAAGCCAAGTTTTATTTGAAGTGGAGGTTATAGGACTTTCTTTGTGTCAACCAAACTTTCACGTTCAATGTTTTTCTATCCTGGTATCAGGCTGACTCTGCCTGGCCATTGCTTCTTTATCCAGCGCTGATTTCGTGCTCTGCTGTCCCATTCACACAAAAAACATGGAAACTTTGTATAACCGGATTGTTGACCCAACAGCATACGGAAGACTTTTAAGTCTCCACAAAGTAGCCAACCATGTTCTTTGTATTTGACCTTAGTGAGAAGAATGTCGAGTTTTTTGTACGTTTCCTTCAAGTGAACTGAATGAGCAAAAGGAACAGATGCATATATATGTTACCATTGTGAAGGAGAACACCTTTTAAACTTCTTTTGGAGGAATCAATGAACAATCGCCACTCACTTGCAGCTCCTAGCATTGGTATTAATTCAGCAATACTGTAAACCAGTAAACCTTCTTGCGAAAAGTATGGTATGAATTATTTCTCATGATTTCTATACCAGTAAAATGATGTCCCTGGAAAAAGTAAGTTATTAGCCCAAAGTCTGGACCTCAAAATATCTGAAGAATCTCTTGGGAGGCCCAAATCTCTCACCAAATCATTAAGTTCACCTTTTGTGAAAAGTTGTGTTTCACCAGACGTTTCAGGTTGAAAACAATCCCTATCATCATTTCGATTGACGTCAGATTCAGAATCAGATGAAACTTTATCAAGAGTCTCTGATGGAGTAGATATAGGTACATCATGTCCATGAGCAACAGGTCTCATAGCCGAGTGAAGGTTCGGATAATAAATTCCTTTTTTATTTCGAGTGTTGTAGTCTTGCACGTTACATGAGCAAAAACAGGAGTCGTCTCCGTGTTTCTAAGCTCACGCCAGAACATTGGAGTTCTAAAAGGCAAAGAAGTTTTTCTTACCTTTAGTTCATTGTCTCAAGTCTTCTACAAAAACGGTGCAAACTTTGTGTGGAGCCCATGATTTGTCTTGGTCGCCAAGTTTTATTCCAAAATACGCGTAATAAGCTTTTTTGACGAATTCTATAATGTTTTGCTTTTGTTTCTTTACAACAAATTTACAACAAATATAACAGAATACATTTGGATCATTTACACAACCTCTTGTTGCTATAGAGACAAATAAATATTGAAAAGAAAAAATAATAATGTCAAATTGCATGTACAAACAAATGCCACTCAGAAATGACATATCATGCGGCCTGTTAACCGATTATATACTGGCGGTGTTTTTCTCGTGGGTTCTAGAACGATCGATTTAACTCTCATGTCGCGATTGGTCTAGAGAAATCTATAGCCAGTGGTTGTCAACATTTTAAGTATTACAAAATGTGACTCGATTTAAATGAAAATGATTCACTTATGTAAGAGTACATATGACGTTTCATAAAAAATCGATACGTGATGGAGAAAAAGTGGATATCATTTTCGAATTCAGCGTGCAGGAATTACAGTAGAACATGTAAAAATTTCAAGACAATATAACCATCGCCTGTGATACTTATTATCTTAACAAATCCTGTAACAATGATTAACATTGAAACTGTTTTTGGTTAATAGTCAATGTCCTATGAGAGTGATTACCAGCACTAGAGTTCAGGTTCATTGTACCATTTCCTGTGTTATTTGATATTACTAGGTTTTAGTAGAAATAATGAATACGGGGTAAATAGGCATCTTCAATGTAAAAACTAGTAATTGTGTATTTGTAGAAATTGATTACTCAAATAATGTAAATGTATAATAGGACCAAATGGTAATGTCGATGTTGTTGTTATTAAGCACTAAGCTACACAACAGTCTATCTGTGCTATGTCCAACACGGGTATCGAAACCCAATTTATAGCGTTATAAGCCCTGAGACTTATCGTCGAGCCACCTAGTGACACAAAACGGTAATGCTTTATTCTATACTAATTCTAAGTTACGTTGTGACCAAGAAAAAAATATGTTTACGCCTTGTTTTATATAATCGTAATACCTTTTATACTAGTGAAACGGAAAATTTTAATGTGTATTTTAAATGTCGCGTAAAAACCTGAACATTAGTTCCTTACCAATCAGATCTCATGTAATGTAATTGCAAATTGAAAGGCCTTTGGAGTGACGTGACTATATGTTATAAACGTTTTATCATGTGTAAATGAATACGATACGTTAAGTTTTGAAGGTTATTTTATTAATTAGCCTAAAGCTACTTTAAATGTAAGTTAACCGACCGGTAAAGGGTACCCAAACAATATATTTAGAGATGCGATGTCCTTGCACAAAACCAGTATCCCATGGCTCGTAGAGAATCGACTAGATGCCACAGTCCTGAGTAATTTTTGTGGATTTCCCTTCTTTCAAAGTTTGTTTTCCAGTTTTATAATTTGATTAGTATATGCACTTGGCATACGAATACATACGTTTCTGTATATATAAAACAGTGTTTCCATTCATTCACAACTTTCAGTGTTTTAGACCTTTTACTCTTAGTTCTGGTTTTTGTTTCTTGTTGTTTTAGCCCTTTTATACTGAAGACCATAGGCTGAAGAGTGAGTTTACCTATAAAACCGTTAAGGAGTAAATTCAGATATTCAGCTAGAACAGTATATTCTTTATACCGGCAACTAATCTCTGAATCAACAGCACCAATTGTGTAATTTTGGGTAACAAAGATGGGTTCGCACAAGATCCGGAAAAGTTTTAATAAAATATAGGAATATGTAGAGTATGATCTGAGGAGTCGTTTGCTGTTTGTTGTTGTTGTGTTTGTTCTTTTCCATATGAATATAATGGTCGTGGTGATTTTCTATCTCCACAAATTTAACAACTCTCGTCCCTCTGTTCATGTTTTATTAGCACCGACGGAAATTCTTCTCTGCTCTCTTTTATGGTTTGTTTTCTCTACATCTGGTGTCGTGTGATGATCGCGTCCACATATGCTGCATTGATAGCTCGTCAAACATTTTGTTACCTTATATTTGAAAGTAAACTTTGTACCTGATGCTTCTGACATTTGTCCTCCAAAACATGTGCTGAAAATCTGTATCTTGTATCCTTTTCAGTTCTTTTCAGTTTTGGTGGTTGACGAACACCGTTGGATTTTGCATACAACAGTATATATATATATATAGATAGATAGATATTCTATAAAATTTGCAAGAAAGTTGAGAGAAAATTGGATGTGTGCATCCCCGAGGTGGAATACTATACGTGTTTTGGTTGGCTCAGAAATTCGTTGTTAATATCTATCTATTTATATACTAGTAGAGACCCGCAAAACAATTGCGGTCAAATCAGTATCTTTATTGCAACAGTACTTTAGTAAATACAGCATTTATAGAATAATACAAAATATTTCTAATGACAGACACCGAAATCTGTAAATCTACTTGTCTTAGGCCTAAAATTAGTTAAACTTTTATTAAGTATGGCCTACTCAATTAATAAAGAGATACATTAACGCTGTAAATTGTTTACGTTTTTTGCTTTAGTTTAGTTAGGGCTAAACACTACCGTAATTAATACTGTTAACAAATAAACTTATAATGCTATTCTACGAACTAACTGTGCTTTAATTTGTAAATGAGTTTAAGGTCAGTTATAATAACGCTGGTGCTTTGTTTATAATAACAACAACATGGTATATTTTTCTACTTTACTCACATTTCGTTGTATTATTTTTTTGCGGACAGTGGTTTCCTAACAATGCCTTTTCTTGTTGATTGTTGTTACACATGTTTCCGTTCACTTGACCATTTAGCTGCACAATTGCCATCTGGCGTTGAGGAGAGGAATAAGACTGTGGAAGTTTACGAGGGAAGGATGCCATTGGGAAAACTGTGAGAAACAATGTCGCACCAACCATACATAGACCTAGCCACCAGGCTCCAACCCACTGTGGGTCATTTGGTGTTAGATTGTTGGAAGTTTCTGTAATACAATAAACTATATAAACATAGGAATACAAGGATGTTATATGCAAAAAATTGAGGCAATGCATCAGTTGTATCTATGGTTTCTAGGTAGAAATCCTCTCTTAGCGAAACTCTGTATCAACTTTTTATAATCTTAAAATTATTTGAAACACGAGCATGTTCTACTAAGTAAAAAAGTTTGTCCTTTTTTTTTTTGCATCAACAGCTAATCTATTGAAGCTCATGAGCCTGGAAAATGTTTACTAAGCTGTTTTAAAGTTGAATATCCGGAAGATTTTCAACTGAAAAAAACTTGTGGATTAACATGAACAATGCTTCAATGATTATAAGAAAGCCTGAAAGTATTTCTTATCTAATGTTGAAATATATGAAGTTATCATAATAAAATCAATCCATTAATAACAAAGAACATAATAATGAATCTTACCAAATGGAAAATTTACGTAAAATCCAATGCAAAAGGATCCCAAGAGGAAACCGAAGGTCGGGCCAAAAATCCTGACACCAATTGTAATAGCTGAATAATAAAAAACAAAAAGAAAAAAAAAGAGTCCTATCTTTCTTCATATACATTCAAAGATAACAATTACCGCGATAATATTTTAATGACTGCAGTTACATATAATTCTTTATTGTATAATTTGTAATTTACTTAAGTACAAAATAATACTCTAAACCTGTATTTGTCCGACCTTTATGTTCTTATTATACGATACTTCTTGTAGCGCCAAATCTTAGTTGGATTTACTGTGTACAGTTTTATTGTATAACATCAACTTTCCACTTACAAATTTTACCATAAAAGTACTTCAGTAATATCTGTTGCATTACAGTTTGTTTGATTTTTGCTCAAACGCAAAGCTATACAATGGGCTATCGGCGCTATGGGGACCGAGTCCCAATTTTAGCGTTATAAGCCCTTAAGCTTACCGCTGGTCATCGAGAGACATTGCTATAGCTGGACGTGGCTTAGTGTCTAGCGTGTTCGAACTATGAATTTGAGGATTCAGGGTTCACGTCTCAATTCCACAAAAAACACGCTCTGCACTATGGGGCAATGAGTTCTCTGTAAGGACGATGTTCAAATTCAGTCAAACAAGAGTTGGCGATTGATGCTATTGACTAATGCCCTCCCTCTAGCGTCTCAGTTCAGAATTAGGGTAGCCTGTACGCAGATATCTCTTGTATAGCCTTGCGCTAAAATTTTAAAACAAACTGTTGCTTTACAAGCACATGTATTTTTTTTTAATGTTGATAAGATAAATATTCAAAAAAACATTATGAAGAAATTAACATAGACAGAGTTAAATCAAAATAGATATAATAATAATTTTGATTAAATTTGCTGCTTATTGAGAATATTTTCCAGTAGAATGTCAAGTTCAAACTGTAACATCTAGTAACATAATAAGCCTTTTATCACTTACTCTCCTGGAAATTTAAAGAATTGTGGAAATTAAATACATGTTAAGTTATGCTCTAACGTGTCACCACAATTAGCTTTAAAATGTTTTTCAGAATTTATAACTTATAATTGGTTTTCTAGAAATCTAACTGTGTTAATGTGGTTGCGACAAGAGATCAGCTAAACCGTACTTAAGAATTGTAGAAAGCTTACCGTTTGGACCAGAGATTAGCTGGTCCGTATTTTAGAATAGAGCTAATCTCTGGTCGAAATGGTAAGCTTTCTAGGTCCGTACTTAAGAATGGTAGAAAGCTTACCGTTTGGACCAGAGATTAGCTGGTCCGTACTTAAGAATAGTAGAAAGCTTACCATTTCGACCAGAGATTAGCTGGTCCGTACTTAAGAATGGTAGAAAGCTTACCATTTCGACCAGAGAGTAGCTGGTCCGTACTTAAGAATGGTAGAAAGCTTACCATTTCGACCAGAGATTAGCTGGTCCGTATTTGAGAATAGTAGAAAGCTTACCGTTTCAATCAAAGATTAAAAGAACTTGTTAAGAATATTATTACAACTTGCAGTTTGGATCACAGATTATCTGGTGCGTACTTAAAACATTATAAAGCTTACCTTCAAATCAAAGATTAGCTGGTCTAGTTAAGAATAATATTAGAACATGCCGTTTCGGTCAGGGGTTAGCTGGTCCATATTTAAGAATAATATTAAAGCTTACTGTTTAGACCAGTGATCAGATGGTCGGTATTTAAGAGTAATATGATATCTTACCGTTTCCACTTTTTTATTTATACTTACCGTTTCTGACTATTTTATACCTACTGAGATCCACTTCTTTCATTGTTTCCGTTCTTATGTTTTAGGCTGCACAAAGTCAACGCAACAAACAACAGAAGCTTGATTTTCATAAATGCATCAGCAGAGAGTAGCACAATAACCTTACTTTCCATGAATACATCAGCAAAGTGTGGCAGAAGAAGCTTACTCTCCGTGAATACATCAGCAAAGTGTGGCAGAAGAAGCTTACTCTCCGTGAATACATCAGCAAAGTGTGGCAGAAGAAGCTTACTTTCATAAATACAACAGCAAAGTGTGGCAGAAGAAGCTTACTTTCATAAATACAACAGCAAAGTGTGGCAGAAGAAGCTTACTTCCATAAATACAACAGCAAAGTGTGGCAGAAGAAGCTTACTTCCATAAATACAACAGCAAAGTGTGGCAGAAAAAGCTTACTTCCATTAATACAACAGCAAAGTGTGGCAGAAGAAGCATAATTTCCATGAATAAATCATCAAAGGGTAGCAGCAGCAGGTTTACGTTCCATGAACATAACAGCAAAGGGTAGCAACATAAGCTATCATGAAAATATTTTTATTACTCTTACATTTTGACCTTGTTTTATAACACTTGCTTTCATTTGTCAGACAAAAGACATTAATTCATCGTCTTTAATGTTTAAAATATACTAGTCTTACAATGAATTATTCACGAATCCCAAATAAAAAGTTTTATATCTTCCTTTTAAAGTATTTCATGTTTTTAATATATCACCCTTAAGTAATTTCATTGCATTAATAAACGTGCTCACAGATAATCATTCATCTCCACCAGAGGGCTTGTGAAAACCGAAACGAAGACCTTCGGCATGTAACTGCAACAAATGTTCATGAAGAAACTCTTTCAGCAAGAAACATTTTCGTTTGGATATAGTTATCAATTTTTCATTCACCAGCGTTCAGCGAGATAGTTAGTTACTTAGCGGATTAATGAGTTTTTTAGTGTTTATGTGTTCTGTGAAATTCGATTAATATCGCATCTTCGCAAAGAAAATTAAGGAACCCACAACATCAGAAACATTTTTATCACACTTTCTAATTTGTTTTATCCCACAGTTCTTCATCAAGACGCCCTCTACGTCTTTTCTCTTGGAAATGAAATCATTTAACAAATTAATCGTGTTATTTTTATTTCAGTAATCATATTGCAAAAATGACCTGGTCAAATAAAAACAAAAGCATGGCGTTTATTACGGTTTAAATATGTTTGACTCTAAACCGAGTGTTTAAGATCAAACGCAAAATGATGAAACCCTATAAATACAATAGTCAAATTGATTTGTTTATTGCAATCATAGTTATGTTAAAAGTTAGGTACATATACCTAAAAGCAGAGGTTCGAGTGTGCTTTGCTATTTACATATAGCTAATAACAAAAGGTACGAGTGATTTTTTATTACTTACATACAACCAACAACACAGGGAATGATGTATTTTACCACTTACATACAGCTAACACAAGGTACAAGTGTTTTTTACTACTATAAACTTTAAATCATATCCAACAGTGTTTTTCGTTACTTAGTGAGTTACATATAAATCTATGTATACTAACAGTTAAACATACGTTTTAATTTCTGAACTTTTAAATTTGCAATTTTCTTTCTCTTTATCAAACATGCAGTATAAAACAAACATTATATGATATTCTCAGCTTTCGAGTTTTCTATAAGTTTGTTTCTAATTAATAAAAAAATTTAACGGACACTGCTAACTTTAGAGTAAAAATAAAAGTAAAAACATAAAACTCGTGAGATAGCTACATTTCTTCCTGAAAAACTTCGTAATAAACATAGATCGTTCAAAGTTGTTTGAAAGTATCGGAAGGACGAAAATATTACCAAAATATTTCTATAAAAAATATCGTGACATATAGTCTGAAAGCTCTAAAACTCCAATTTAATAACTCGTTCCCGAACATGTTTGTTCTTTCAGTCGGCCCCCAGTGGCACAGCGGTATTTATACGGACTACAACGCTAGAAATCGGGTTTCGATACCCATGGTGGGCAGAGCACAGATAGTACCTTGTGGAGCTTTGTGCTTAACAACAAACAAACAATCTTTCAGTCGTGGGGACGTTGTAAGTTAACGCTCAATCCCACTTTTTGTAGGTGAAGAAACCCAAGAGTTGGCGGTGGGCAGTGTTGACTAGCTGCCTTCCCTGTAATTTATCGCTTGTATATTATGGTTGGCTAGAGCATATAACTCTCAAGTAACTTCGCACGAAAATTAAAACAAACAAACTTATTTAATATAACGTTTATATGTTGTTGTGAGGGTATTTTTGAAATTGATGTATAAAATAAAATAATTGGTAAGATCAGAATTAAACTAAATATAATTCACTACGTCCCGCATTCTAGCAACAACAAAGAACAACATACACAGAATGTGGTTACTATATGACAAGTAGTCAATGTTTATATTATTCTACAATAGTTTATCAATTTTCTTGTTCTGCAATAGGACATATTTAAGATATATATATATATATATCGCAATACAACAGTACAAATTACTATTTCTAAATGTGTCCGGTTTTGCTAACCGTTTTCGTCCACTAGTTTCTAAACCTGTAATAATCTATACACCCACCTCACTCCAGGGAATAGTCTAATGTCAATCATGTTTTATTCATTTCGGCTTCTATGAGAATGTCAAAACAAGCGGCATAGTTTGCAGTGATCCCTTAAGTGATCCCTTAAGTTTGCAGTGATCCCTTCTATGAGAATGTCAAAACAAGCGGCATAGTTTGCAGTGATCCTTTAAGGAAAATTTGAACATGCAGTTTTACATGTACACGTGCGCAGTTGTAATTCAAGGCTTTGAGCATAGTTGCTCAGAGCAAACATTACCAATAATAACAAAAATAGACAATCGGAATATAAAGTTTTATTTGTTTGTTATCAAACACAAAACTACACATTAGGCTATCTGTGCTGCGAAACCCGTTTCTTAACCCTGAGCCACTGGGGGCCAGAAATGTAAAATTAGTAAAATAAAACTGAGAATATTAAAAGACAAGTGCCGGTTACGTTTGATAAAGATAATAACAAATTTAGAAACTCCAGAAATTCAAACATATGCTTTGATGCTGGTACATACAAGTTTGTATGTATCGCACGAAGTAATGAAAACACTGTGAGTATACTTCTGAAACAAGTTCGTTTTCTCTAGGGTAAATGAAACGAAACCTAATCCAAGATGTTTCGCTTCTTAAGCAAAGTTCTTCAGTTGATAGGAGAGAATGAGAATAGAAAGTGCGTTGGCTTTAAAAAAAATCGTTTAATCAGATAGAAGACGTTCAATAGAGGGGAAATCCTTCATAAATAAATCCCTTTGTTCTCTAAATAAATGAATCTATTTATACAATCCATAAAGAAATTATAATAACACTCAAAAACATAGTTGCCAGAACAAACAAAAAAAATCTATGGCAACTTAAAAATACACAAAACACGGTTCGCGTTAGACATATTGTCTATGTATGTACATCGTTCAATACTCTAGCAAGCTTATTCGTGATTTCTATAGAAACAAAAGCAATGCAAACAGCCTTATTCTCCCATGCACTTGGTAGAGATATTTGATGGTGTATTAAATAGCTTTAATAACCAAGATGAACAAAATCCCTGCTTTAAACAAATCAACTCTATCCATCCCATTATAAAATTCACAAATTAAGAGGGAAAAGAAGCAACAATAGTTTTCCTAAATGTAAATGTCGCACGACTTCACAACGTATTAACATAAAAATACATAGGAAAATCACAGACAATGACATATACATCATTTGGCTCTCAGTACACAACAAGGTACATCTAAAGGCCTATATAGCACTGTTTTATGCCTTGGTTCACATAAAGAAATAAAAAAGAAAACAGATGATATTTCAGCTTTCTTGAAACACTTAAATAGTTTTACCAGAACATTTTATTTTTAACTCATTAAAAGAAATAATACGAAAAAAGTAATAATCAACAACATATAAAATACAAAAAAAAATTATAAGTAAATAAAAAATTACTAAGTCATGTGAATTATCATAAATCAACAGAGAAAACAGCTTATAAGAATCTCATGAAAATCATACTATAGATATTGAAACAAAATTCATGCAAAAATCTGGACTAAAGATAAAGGACTTACTAAAATTTTACGACAAAGATGACGACGCAAATGGATTTATCTATCAAATTAACTATGAAAATTGTGAATCTTTGTGTACAATGATGAAAGTACTGGAAATCTAATAACAAGAATTAACGAACACTTGAAAAGTAAATAAACACAGAAAACTCAAGCATAAAATAAATTACGAAAGCATAAAGATATTGGGGAAAGAACAAGACGTACAGAATAGAAAAATTAAGAACACACAATTAACAAAATATAAAAACCTAACAAATATTTATAAAGGATATTACGTTTACCTTTTTTTTAACGCCCTCTATTGCACGTGACTTCTATTTAAACACTTTTTAAAAGACAACGTACGCTCTAAGATCCCCCCCCCCCTCCCAGTGGCACAGCGGTATGTCTGCGGATTTACAACGCTAGAAACCGGGTTTCGATACCCATGGTGGAAAGAGCATCGTGTAGTTTTGTGCTTTACTTCAAACAAACAAAAGTTCTATGATCGGTCTCTTGCATCAAGGTTCGTTGAACGAGTGAAACGTCTTGATTTACGATTCCTTTTCAGTTGCCCGAGAGAAAAAAAGGCTTTTAAGAAGTTTGAGAAATACTTACCTTCCCTTATTAAGTATATTCAACTGTTGAATATATTTGTATATTATTAAATACGTGGGCTATCTTTGCGAGTATCAAAACCCGATTTTTAGCTACTAGTAACAAACACTCGCGCCTAGTATCGTCGTCACTATCTACCCTAAACGTGGACCTAGGTTTGGTGGTTATAAGCAAACCAGTTTTAATTTTGCATTTATAGGATGCTTACATCAATAATCAGTTCAGTGTTGGTATAATATTATCAAAAATCAACGAAGTTGATTTCTGAACTGATTTATTGACTGATAGAAAAGTGTGTAGAGAACGTCTTGATGATGAACACGGTAATATAATAAAAATGAAATAAAAAATATAACGCATGTTCCTAAAATTTCTTGATGTTGTGATAGTAATCGAAACTTACTAAACGCATAAATACTACACATAAAGCAACACATACTAATTCTAAGCTATGTATTTTGACAACGCAACACATGCTAATTTTCAGCTATACACTTTGACAACGCAACATTTACTAATTTTAAGCTTTATATTTTGACATAACAGGGAAACTTCTGTCTGACAGAAAAGGTCAGTTTCTTTGTAGAATGTTGTGTTAGAAATTTCGAAATTTTTGTAATTAATTTAACATAATAGATACTAAATTGAAGTATATTTTACATATAACACTCTTTATAGAAAATGTTCACTTTGATCTCAATGATTATTATATTATTTTCAAACACTTTATTCTTAGGAACTGATAATCTTCTTTAAAAATACCAACACTTTTAATATTGTCAAAAAGTTATCACTATACGTATAAGGTGAGATATTACCTAGCTGACATTTGCATCATAAATCATTACTAAACACACTTATTTATTGCAATTAGACACGCAAATAAAAATTAGATAAAAGTGCACTATTGTGTGTAAATTTGTAAGGTATATAATCTACTCAAGAGTCCCTTTTTAATTTGGAACGCATTAAATACGTCCAGATAACTACGATAATAACCTTTAACAATTACGATAAATGAATTTCTACAACACGTTATAAAGACTATTAATGTAAAATAGTTCTGTTGGTAACAGTAACATTAAAAACTAAGATATATGCACTGCCACTAGACATGGTGAAAACTTCATATTGGCGACAGTAGTTGCAATGATTGTATTACCACTTTTAGACTTTTCTCCCAAATGACGACCCTCTTCAACTTTGCAACTATAATACCACCGTCTGATATTCTTCCGACGAACAACCCTTTCTGTTTTAGAAGTATACTACCACTCTTCACAATTCTCTCCGCGAACAATCCCTTCAATAAGTATAACTTATCACTGCTCGATTTATTTACTATTTTAATACAGTTTCATTTGCAATTTATGAACTATTCCAGCATTAAGACTATGGTACCTCCGTTTGATTTTCTTCCTCAACCCTCATTCCAAAAAACACAAACAATCCTTAATAAAAGACAGGACCTAACAATTATTTGCTTCCCTTCAATTTTATGATCATACTTTTCCTCCCAGTAGCTAAGCTTATAAGGCTAAAATTCGGGGTTCAATCCCTGTGGTATGCACATTACAGATAAACTATTGTTTAACAAAAATACCATCTTCAAGTGTTATAATCTCGAAATCATAAAGAAAACATAATTGAAGAATCACCTATAACCTGCACTTGCCCTTCAGCTAATAAATTTATTAGAACATGTTGAATTTTTAAATATAAATCTATATTTTCCTGTAAGAAAACAAATAGAATTTATCACATTTTAGCAACAGCCAAAGTGAGCTTGTAATACACCTACCAAAATACATTGGAGAGTCTCGTGTTGCTACGTTATCGTCGATATAAGGAATGCCAAGAGTGTAAACTGCAGTCGCTCCAATCCCAATAAACAGAAGGCTGACGAAAAATATCGCAAGAACAAAGCCAGTTCTTTGACTGGGGTTATTTGGTACATTCGGGGAACTGCAATGAGAATCACCGTCTAACCAATAAGGTTCTGGTACTGGAAGTTGGTTGGTGGAATTATCCTTTGATGAATGCCTCCGCCAGGTGGTGTTGTGTTCTTGCGATGCTGATGTGACATTGTTGCTAGTAGGGTAGAAGACTGGCTCCCAAAGTTCAACAAGCGACTCAGTAATTTTATGAGAGGGGGGTAATTTGTTATGACACAGCTCTGCGTGTAACTTGCGAAGACTTTCGGCAGTCTCGTTATTACCAACGTTATCTTGGTTAGCATAAACTGGGTAATCTATCTTAAAAAGGAAATGCGGAGTAGAACAAAATATACATGCCGTGGCAAATAACAATGTTCCAAAAGCTATCCATCTGGGGCGGTGACCTTGACCACCATAATATGTTAAAAAGAAAGCGCCACCTATTTGTCCGATTTCTGTCGCAGATAATATAATCCCCGTAGTTTTACTTTCCACGCGATACAATTTTTCTATTGTAGTTAAGACACTCACAAAGTATGTGGAGTACATACCCTGTAATACACTAGTAAGACAAAATATTGCCACAAATGTCTTCTTATTTGCTAACGTTTGTAACCACTTAGGCCTAAAAGAACCTAACCCACAATAAGGTTTTTCAATATCATCTGCATAGTGTTCATTGTGGACTACAATATTTTCATTAATGACCGTTAGAGATTTCCCGTTGATTTCCATACCGTTTGGCACTTTATGATTGTTGCACACAATGACGGTTTTGGAATCATTCCCATTGGGGTTCATTGGTTTCTTGCACTCATCGTCGATGCTCCTTGGCTTGTCTTTCTTCATCATCTTGAATAGTGAAGGACGCCACCGCTGCATAGCTCCACACCACGTTAAAGCAGACTTCTGAAAGTTTCAACAGATCTTTCATAGACAAGCAAACGCATAAATTACAGGAAATTAAATACATATAGATACATACAATTAGCTCTTATTTTGAACCAGAGATCAGGCCTCTTTCTTACCTTAGTGTCCTTATAAAGAGATTAACATTTTTATGATAAGCTCAGCACTTACAAACAATGAAAAAATATTTATTGGATTGCACAAAACGGATGGAAACTCGACTAACAAATCATTTATATCATGAAAATCTATTTTCGGATTCATCAAAAATAAAAAATGAAAATCCACAGCCTCAACTAGTTTACCAGTTTGTGTTTTCTGTATTGGAAATAAATTAATTTTCTAAAACGTTTATCATTTGAGACATATGTAACACAAATGACACACGAATTTCCCTGTAGATCAAAAGTTGGTGTTCAGGAGGATTTACACTATACCAAAGTTTCCAGAAAAACAGCCATCATTGGTCATTCGTATTTCAGAACTTTAAGAACCTTAGAGTTTCTAATAATGCGAATACTGGTGATGACTTAGTGGTTAGCGTGCAAGGCTGCGGACTAGAAATTCCACGGTTCGAGAATGTAATATGTCGCTGAGCACGATCCGCACTTTAAAGTATCGGTGCGTTGATATAAATGGTAAAAAAATCTCTCTATTTGATTAAGAGTAGCCAAGTTGGTGGCGATTGCTACAAACTAGTTACCTTCTCTCTCTGGTCGACACTTCGAAATCAGGGACGGTTATAGCTGATCCTTGGGTATCTGACCAGACGGTCTAGCTTATCTGTTGACATAAGTTAGGGTTAATAGCAGTTCTTTCGAAGCTTCAAAAAGTTGAAGGATTTAGGAAAGCATCAAAAACTTACGCGTGGTTTTGACGCTACGACGAAATGGTAATTTATGTCTCGAGCAGAAAAAAGTATAATATTCCTCATCTTTATATTAAGTTCATCAGTAGGTTAAAATTCATAAATTGCAATAAAATGTAAGTTGTCAGATATAAATAAGTGTTTTATTTCTGAAAAAAGCAGACCAGGATCTCCAAGTTACACGAATTTCAGGCTTATTTGTTAAAGATTGCCATATATATTCTAGAGTGAAATAAAGAAAAAACTTAGTGAATCGTAAACCAAAAACTATGTGTCGTATTTGAACATCTGTACAGAAAAACTAATATTTATATTATTCAAAAGTACCAAAATTTATCCACCTTGACTCCATAATATGTTAAAAATGTGTCCGATTTCTGTTGTAGAAACATATATACACACACACATATATATATATATATATACTCAAACAAGTCAAAGATATATTATAACACTCCAATAAAGGTTATTTTCGATATTTATTATAAGATTTGATAGTATAATATATTTGATTTCTTCTTAAAAAAATGAAACTAATGTGAGGGAGACCTTGGTAATAAATACCAAAAGCAAGAAAAAGTAAAGATGTCATTGGATTAAAATGAAATCCCTGTACGTTAAAACATATTGATTTTAGCTGTTAATATTAAAAGATATTTTTAAAACGTACGTGTTACAACTTACGTATGTTGCAACTAAACACTGTATTTTTTTGTTTTCTATATTTAGCATTTATTTTTAATCAAGGAATATTTTAGTCAATTTTATCGGATTTTTGAGCATAAACTTTTTGCAAATCGTTCTGATTATCATCCTTCCCTAAACAGACATGAGTAGATTTAGACCGCTTCATCTGAAATACTAGCTTCATCGTTTCCTGCAGATTTTTGTATAAATCGTATCGCAAAATCATTACAAAATATGATTCATAGCTAGAAAATAATGATGAATTAGACAATTTGGCGTGATACTGGATTAAATCAAATCTGAATAGTTCCATTGCTTGTGTTCCCTGGTGGGAAGGGGATAAGTTTGCGGATTTACAATACTGAAATTCGGGATTCGATTCCCCAAGGTGGACTCAGCAGAGAGCCTACTGTGGCTGTGCTCTAAAACAACCAGACAAAATACATTTCTTGTAGGTTTCGCACATTCTAAATAAAGATTAATAGAATAAAGCTAATTTTTATTCAATGATTTGTTGTTGTTTTTCTAACCGAATAAATTCGTCTTGAATGTAAAGACACTTGTTCGTGGACTTGTGAGCCAACAAAATCATCAACTATATTCAAGCTTTTACATAGCGTTTTAATGTGCTCGCCTATATTTACATGTCAAGCAAACTACTTTCTGGTATAATGACTACTAGAGACATGAAATTAATCACACTTCGAAGAAAAATATAGCAGGATTTTAGTTCAACTTTTCAAACTCGTTTTCAGGCGCAAGGTCAGCAGTTTAAACTATCAAACGTTTTCTCGATGCGCAGATGCAGATGTGCCGAGGATATTGAATTCCCAGTCAAATCGGCATCAAACATGAATTTTATCAAACTGATTCTGCACATGCGTAACTTTTCATAAACATTTTTGTTTTGTTTTGTACTTAAGCAAAAAGCTAAACAATGGACTATCTGTGCTCTGCCCACAACGGGTATCGAAACCCGAATTCTAGCGTTGTAAGTCCGCAGACATGCCGCTGTGTCACTGGGGGGCACCATTAAAATGATATAATCATTCCAAAAAAGATTTGTTGCTTTCTTCGTAGCTGTTTTTTTATTATTATTATTATTCACGATTTGTTAAGACATATCACTCGTTCAAACGGACAAGGGGAGGCAGTTCCATCTCTCCCTGAAATCCTGAAATTTTTATTCGAAACAAATATTGAAAGTAAAATAAGAAAGTTGAAATATAAATAGCAAATCTTACTGTTACTACCATCGCATGGCCAGGCGGTTAGGGCGCTCGACTCGTAATCTGACGGTCGCAGGTTCGAATCCCCGTCACACCAAAACATGCTCGCCCTTTCAGCCGTGGGGGCGTTATGATGTGACGGTCAATCCCACTATTCGTTGGTAAAATAGCAGCCCAAGAGGTGGGTGGTGATGACTAGCTGTCTTACACTGCTAAATTAAGGACGGCTAGCCCTCGTGTAGCTTTGCGCGAAATTCAAAACAAACAAACTACTATCAAACTGTACGACTCAAAATACATTATGCTATTTTCATACTCTATGAATTATGTCATTCATTTTATATGTGTAGTGTCTCGTACATTAAGTGATATTAGTTTCCCAACTTACGTGCTTATTTTCGACAGTTTTGATCTAAAAATTATATATATATATATATATAACAAGTCAAGTGCTATAAATTACATCAATGATGAAAAAAATAATGAAAACATCAAAATATCAACAGTGAAATTCATTGAAATGTTACTCTCAAAATTCAGAAGAAATCTTGATAAAATATATCCATTATCGCGTTAGTAATATATATATTGAATAAAAATAAAAACTTTACCTTTTGTACTTTCTAGATATTTAGTATAATTTATAGTTTGTTGTTCAGTATATATTACTAGCGTGGTCATGGACATATTTTATCAAGTTTTCTTATGATAAACATTATAATAGTAAATTTTGAGAGTAACATTTCAATAAATTTCACTATTGATATTTTGATGTGTGTGTGTGTGTGTATTACATGCATTACATTCAGCCATATATATAAACGATTTCTTATGTTTACTTGGGACACAATTCTACAACAAAAAACCATTATTACTATGACCATCTTCGATGCTGTACTGTTGATGTCTCAGAGAGAGAGGTAATCCATACGTTTCTATGCATCATTATCCCTATTCACTTCATGTTATAGAACACATGCTACTCGTGTGCGTGCTTTCTTTATTATTAATGCGGGATCACATTTGACTCATTGAAGTGAGAACCAAACAGATAGTGTTCTTAAAGATGGCCTCTCTTTGATTCTATTTTCTTCTGAATTCCTCAGATCTGTCCTAAGAAGCTCACGTCCTGATCTAACAAGGAATTCAAAAGTGTACGTGTATATCTGCATACAATGTATAAAACATAAGCATTAGAGTTTCTCTGCCACATTTGTAATACAGTATTAGGACGTCTTTTTATACTCTGGATATTAGAAACGTGTTTTCTCATGAAGTGTCGAGGACTAATCTTCTACCCCCTTTTTTATATATCTCCGAAAACTGAGTGGCCGTAAGCAGGTAGCGACTGTAAACGAAATTCATGCATCAACCCACCATAGCCTTGACTTTGCTGAGGCTGCAGTTGCGTCTGCGCTCAGTCCCAAGGTCGGGCCTACCGGATTCTCTGCTCCTATCGAACAACTAAATCTTACCAACCGGTTTTTCTGCCCTTCTATCCTTTCGTAACGCATAACATTCTTCTAAAAAAATTGACAATTCTACACGCTTTACTGACACAATAAAATACATTCTCAATTTCTACGTTTTTCCTAATTTTAGTTCAGCAACACATCTCTCATTATAAATGTATTTCGCTCTTTTAAAATTGTTTTATTCACATATGTTTAGGTTTTTTTTTCCTGCATTTTGTAATTTAACAACAATTTATCTTAATGCCTTATGATTAATGTTTTTTTTTAACAAATTGGAATGATAAGCAAGGCTTTGTTGTCATGACCCTAACGACTCTACTAGACAACAGTGGCCGTGTTGTGTTTGCATCTAAATAATGCATTTTGAGTATGGTCATTGGTGGAAACAAAGTAAGAGAAAGAAATATGTAGGTCAAGAGCGTTTTTTATCGCTAACCTTGCTCTCATTGTTTTTATTTCCATATTGACAGTGTCAAATATTGTTCCTCTGGTCTCCTTAGATATGTATTTAATAATAACTTTCATTAGTGCTGTATTCACGAGATGCAACCCTTTCTCAGAAGTTAACGTGACACTTTGAATAATACCGGCATGACTGAGTTACTTCTTAGTGAAAGAGTGGCAGGGTATAGCGTTACTGCAGGATATAAAATGTCAAAGATAAAATCGGAAACTGGACAACAGGGAAGGTGAGATAACCGAACGTGCAGTAATGGGATAAAAAACAAGCTGACGAGAAACGGACTTAAGTTGATACGTGAAGCTAAAATAGTTAGTTTATTAGTATTCATAAACCATTAAAGTATTTAGAGATTTTAAGCATATTTAAATATTTAATCAATATAATGCCAAATGAAACAATTTAATTGCTTTTGTCAGTATGCCTTACTTAGATAATTAATAAATTAATTTCAAGACAAAACTTTCAAACATAGACATTTTCAAACAACAACGTAAGAAAAGTGAATGTTTCAATGACGTGTTTACAGCTAATGCCTATAATTTCAGTTATAAAGCAAATTTCCTAGTCAGATGGCAGATCTACCGAATCCGGTTCTTCTACTATAGTGAGTACAATAACCTGACTTAGATGGTTAATTCGTCAACCCAATCTGCGTTTTCACTGCTGGCTTCTTATGCTTCTGATTTGTACTCGTATCAGAATAACAGGCAGAAATCGCGTTTGAGTTATTAACTATAGCTAATTTTTTATCGATCTACTACTAGCAGTTCGTTGATGTACCTCTTCAGAAGATGGATAAGTATGATATACGCAAACTTCTGTGAACGTGTAAAATTACAATGGAAACAGCCACATTATTTAACAGTTCTATCTTGTTCAACTCAACTTGGTTTGACCAACATCTCTTTTTGTTATTCTCTGTCACAGTTTTAAAGTCATAAATCCATTCGCAAAAATACTTTAACCGCCTCTAACCAATAATAAAAGAGTGCATTATAAAAATAATTTTGGGTTTCTCAGCTGTGTCTTCATATTTTTCATCGTCCTTTATGTAACTACCTTTATTCTGAAAACTGCTGTTTCAGTGCAATCTATAAGATGTTAAGACATAGCTTGTAATACACGTGTTTCATTCTCGTTTTTTTTTTTTCATCGTTCAATTGAGATGATGGCGCAATTTCACGAAAACCTTGTGGAAGAGGGAGGGGTACAAAACAGCATTTAATTAATTTGACTATTCTTTTATCTATTCCTCAGGGGAAAAAATTATAGTTATTTGAACACGATCCTCAGAATTGGCTTTCTGTTACGTGATGGCTTTTTGAGCAGTAAAACAAAAAATATCCCCGGACTTATTGTGCATAATGTTGATTTAATCAAACCTAGAATATGTTTACTTAAGTTACAATCAAATTATAATTATTTTTGTGAGGAAACACCATGATGATAACTTTAGAGACGTGCATACGGCCCCTCATTAATGGCTTCACTGAAATGTGATAATTCATCTCTCCTATGTCATAAATTCTTTCTCTGAGTACGAAGGAGTTGGTTTTGAATAATTTCGATACTTTTGGAGAAGGAAAATACGTTTAGATACAATGCTATATTTTATTTAAATCCCTAACCATAGCAAACGCGCTTACTCTCATGATATGATTCGCTAAAGCCTACAAACAAATAACTTGTAACTTTAGTTACTCGCACAATTACAACACCTTCATCACATGACATTCATATTTATTTATACAGTGTAACTGCCGTGTAGTTTGATTAAACGCATCCTTGTTATCGTACATTTAATATAGTTGTTCTAAGGAACAATAATGACTGTCTCTCGTAAGTTCCAGCTGCTTCTTCTACTAGGAAAAATATATACTTCTCAGGTTTGGCTAACCTCACATGGATGAATCTTCACTTCACAAATGTTGCTTCAGAGAAATATCTAGCTTGACAGATGAGCTATTCTGTGACAATAATGACAAAGTAAACCACAGTTAATTCTAGCACAATTCATTTGTATGTTATATGACTTCCTTCTTGATTTAGTAAAGTTGACTCGGGTTTTTCTCGCTTTTATTACTAGTCCTAGCATTAATTTTTAGTCTCTTCTCTTTGTTTGAGGTTTTACTTCTTTCGAATCTTCTTGGATAAGATAGATTATAAGAATCATCCTGAAATGAAGTACCTCATATTATTCTATTGATATTCTAACCGCTGTGGGTGAGGCCTTTATCACAAAATATTTATTATGATATTTTTGGACATTAGTTTCTAAGTTTTCCTAAATTTTCACGTCCAGGTTAATATATTGTAGGCTCTTTTGGTATTATATCCGTTTTCAACTTTAATATTTGTATTAAACTTGTGTTTTCTATTGGTTTCTCCTTGATCTGCTGGGTTGATTCGTCTTTTTTTTCTCTGTTGCTACAGTTAATCTATCTCAGGTCCTACATCCGTATTTCGTGAAATTTTTTGTACTTATCCTGAAACATATCTTCCGTTTTTTTAAACCATCTGTTTTTCAAGAACCTTGACCAAAAAGGAAATAATAATTAAACATCCTTACTCGCTTGATGGTACATTAGAAAACATTGAAGATCATCCTGAGGCATCTTAACCAATAATATAAAACATGTAAACAGTTACGATAAAACCACGAAGGTACTGAAAACAATTTAACGAACGAAATCCAATACGCCATGAACATCAGCCAAAGAATAAACAGTACGAAAGTAACTTTAATTAATAAGGAGTAATCCAAAAAGTTCGGACAATAAGAATCCGTGCATTAAGGTTTCGAAAGTATGAGAAAAACGTACAGGTGCACATTAAGTATCTCAATTAATTCAGCAAACACCAGGCAACAAAAACTTTTATCATGGAAAAGGTATAGTTCCAATGTTGAATAAGGAAAAACGAGATGCCTTCAAGATCCTTTTCCAAGACGGAGCTAATAGTTTAAGATACATGTCTGAAAGATTCAAGATTGGTAGGTAGTGCAAAAGCTCATTTTCTTAGATTGTCTTGTGGTGATCTCCTACTTACTTCTAAAGGATCTTGACCGGTTGAGATACCAGTAAACGTGTTATAGACGATTAATAATGGTCTAAGCTGTGACATCAAAAGCCCTTGGGCAAGAAATATCAGCTTACACGTGGAACGTCGTGATTATTAAATTGGACATTGAAAGTAGGCGAAGAAGTAAAAGATATGTGGTGGAATGCGAATTAATTCACTGTACTTGCAATACAATAAGTAAAGTGATTTTAGTATTGTAAAAATTATGCCCTCATTTCATTCAAGTAAAGTTACTTTTTGAGACGTTCAATTACACATTTTTTTTCCATAAAGAAACACAGAGCAGCAGTTCGTAACGATGTGATTACACATTGGAAATTAATGAAGGAAAAATTTACACTTTAAAATTCTTAAATATATTGTTATTTATAGTTGGTTCAATATAATGATATAGCCGACTCGTGTTACCCAATTATTCATAAGAATATAGCTAACTATAGCTAATTCGGTTACTCATGCTTCCTACCTTTGTATAAAATTATAGTTAACCCTAACTAATTCGTGTAATCCTGTTATGCTATTATTCATAAGAATATAGCTAACTAGTTAATTCAGGTACTACTGTTATATAAATATAAATAACTATAGCTTATCCAAAATTTAGGTTTAACCTTCTCATTATCAAAAAACAAACAAAAACAGAAACCTGTAGTTGACACAGAAAATGATATTTTTATACGATAGATAATCTGTGGCTGATGTATGTTCTGGTGTTCAACTCAATTTTCCTCAGAAAGCAGTCACAGTATCTGATCTATATACTGTTGTTGCTTACACTATTCTTTTTATCTGATTAAGACACTAATCTTTACCCTATTTTTGATAGTAATAATATACACATATTTTTACCATACCCTTGATAGTAATAAAATGCAACTGATTCAAATATTGATACTCTCTGCCTAAAAATGATCAACTAGCGTTGATTCAAGTAATGATGTTAACCCCACTCTTCCTAAAAATTTGTAATGTTTAGCTGCCTCCGATACTGATCTTTAACCTACTTTGATAATAATATGATAATCTGTAACTGATCCAAATACTGTTTGTCTCAATATCCCTAAAAGTGGACGGTCATCAGTAGTTCATCCAGTTACCATTTACTTGATAACACTGTGTTAACATGTAGCCGATTAAGGTACTGATGTTTATCTTTCATTAATGATATGACAATCTGTAGATGTTTCAGTTTCCAATGTATATCATTTTCGTATTACGAATATGATAATCTGTAGCTGACTTGGGTACTAATATTTGAACCCACACTTCATGAACATCTGCTGCTTTATCAATTATTGACATGTATTCTTTTCTTTCTTTTTTTTACGAAAATGTTATTATGTGTAAAACGAATTGTTAATGACGTTATCCTCCACATTTCATAATAATTATCTGCCGCCAGATTAAGATAACATAATACTCCGAACAGTAAAGGTGCACCTCTTCACAAAACACTGAGCATGGCAGAGTACACTTTATAAAATTGGAAGTTGTTAGAACATTTGATTTTTTGAAGAATACTTCAAGATGCTTTCTCCAGAAGAACTGATCTCTTCTTTTGTCTAATTTAATCCAATATGAATATATATATATATATGTGTGTGTATGTGTGTATATTCTTTTTCAGTTTAAAATGACCATACTCATGACTTGTCCGTTCAGTCTTTAATTTACTCACGTATAACCAAAACAATGAAAAGAAACGAATTCCATATATGAAGACCTTTACGTTTTAACCCCGAAACTAGGTCATACATAATTATTACCAAATAAAATATGATAGTTCTATTACTACAATTTAAAATATATTGAATTAGACAATTAAAATAGACACTAGGAAATGACGTACCAAACGAATAGAATGTAATTAAACATTTAAAAAAATGCTAATTTAGACAGATTTCCAAGCTATAATATTAAAACAGTTTTATGGTTTTACGTATAACGATACATAACAGACGTATCTTATAAACTCCTGCAGTTCAAGTAGTGAATTATTTCTTTGGTTTGTGAATAGAAACAACAATCGGGTAGGTTAAGAAATATACAACGGATGAACAATAGAGGAAAAAGTAAATACATAATAATTAATACCACTTTATAAGTTAGAGGTAGCATAGCTATGTAAATCACTAGGTTCTCATCTTCTTGTCAGAATTCTATAAAACACGGAACAAAGCTTATTTCTTACCTCGTTCTCGTTTTAGCAATTGAAATATTTAAATGAGATCAGCAAAAATATTTACAAGGCATTCCTAAAGAGGGATGAATAATCCACGCATTAGAAAATATTCACGCGCTACACTGTGTAGTGAAAAGGCGACTTCGACCACGAAACCCGAGAGAGTTTGTTCTTCACAGCCTTCCACTTAGCTGAATCCAAGGTAAATACTCTTTTCTATATCAGGTAGGACTACTTCTATTCCTAGATGGCGCTAGTAGGTAACGGAGGGAGCTAGCACTTGCGTTTTTGAGACTATCAACGACAATTTTTGAAGGGGAAAAAAAAAAGCTAGCTGTGAGTAACAAATAACAACCACCATTTTATCTCAAAACACACACCCTTGTTTCGAATTTATCATAAAAGAATACTTATTCCTTTCAGACATTAAGAATTTGTCACTATTATATTTTAACATGAATTAACTATCATCAATTCGCCTTTTTTTGTCCATCAACCACAACGCCCCAAACGCCAATCTTCGAAGCTCATACAGAGGCTATTGTATCTAGTTTAGGGGTTTGTGTTTATAATCTGGTAGAGCTTGAAAGATTTTTGAAATCTACTTTCTTTTCTTTTAGTAACCCTTTTCTCCATTATTTAGTCGGGATAATTATTCAAACTGGACGATGATTTTGCGCAATAGTGCTAGGCATTACGGACCTAACGACAATCGTAAGTGGCATTACTTTCCATGGAATAAAAAAAAATAGCCGATAATGGATTATTTTTATATGAACAGGTATTAGAAAACAAAGTCTTAGATTACCAAAAATAGAGTCATTAACAAATATTAACATAATTCTGGTAAAATCCTATAAAAGAAGTGCCTTAAATTATGACGTTCTTTGAAATGAAACAAAATGTTTTATTTTCATTATTTTGCGTAAAAACGTCACATATTACGAAATTGCAACATGATACACGTGAAGCCATGGTTCTTGTAATATCAAAATCACTGCATGTGATTGGACGAGGATCATACTTCTTGAGATATGATTTATGTTTTCTCACTGATACGCTTCTAAATATATCTGTCTATTAATAAAGCACTCTTCCCTGGATACAATCCATTTTGCAGGTACGTTTGTACAAACCTTATATTGGCTTATGACTATACCTCTGGTTTTCACATCATAAATTTAATACTTTATGGCTATAAAATATTAGCATTATCCTTAAAAAATCCAAAGAAAATTAAAACTTAATGTATAAATAGGAAATCATATTTATTACTAATACATATTTAATTAATGAATCTATGCAAATAAGAATTTTATGTTTCATTTCGGTCTTCAAATTACTATTACAGTACAATCATAAAAAAATGAATTGAAAGTATGTTTGGCATGAAATATTAGTTTCTCTAATAATAGTTTTATACTCTTCAGCAAAAAGAAGATTACAGCCCAAAAATATACTTCATGAAACATGATACATGTCTATTTCCAAAGTGAAATAGCATTCAATTTAAATATGTAATGAAAGAATAAACATTTCTAGGCTCATGATTTTAAATTGAATCTATTACTTTAATCCTTCGTTTTATTTCGGTAAAAAAAAAAATAATATTTTGTTTGTTTGTTTATAAGCACAAAACTACACAATGGCTTATTCTGTCTTTGCCCACCGCGGATTTGCGGATATCGAAATCAGGTTTTTAACGTTATAAGCCCTTAGACTTATCGCTGAGTCATGGGGTATGTAAAACAATCTGTAGAGTAAGTTTCGGTTTACAATTACAGTTTTAATATTATGTATGCAAGCAGAACTATAACAAAAGTGTTTTTATTTTGCTTATAAAAAAACTGTTAAGGTTATTTTCCATGATGACTAGCAGCAAAGGCGTTACTGTTATAATAAAAAATGTTCAATTCAAAAATTCCACTTGCTTTTAAATTCGCCTGCACAATACGTACACAAGCCATAAACCAATGGCTTTTCATTAGTGTTATTACAATGTATGTTACGCTCCAGGTCACGTCAGCGGATGTCATTTAGCTTTAAATAAACCAGTGTTTCTCAGCTGGATTTGTCAGACGATCTCTACGTCCGGGCTTTGGTTGTCGTGACCCCCATTATCTTTACAAGGTGAGAAGATTCCTGATGTTTCTAGACGTAATTCGTCATAGTTCAAAATAAAAGTGATATGTGCACCTCTCAAACACCTCGATGACTTAAAACAAAAGTTGACTCAGCACAGACAGTTCGTGCTCCCCCCTGGAAACCCCCCGCGACCTACCGTTTGAGAAACACTGAACTAAACTCTGATGTGGAAATCCCATCATGGCGACGGTATGTCAAAAAAGTGGTGGACATATCTGAAAATAATTTCTAACCTTTTCCAGTTCTTTGACGAAAATGACAATTTATGAAATAGTGAGATTTTGGGAAGAAATTTGAATCATTTCCATATCCTTTTAAGGAAAGGTTGTGTCAGTCGATCCGAATTTGCAAACAGTTAACTTTGTTTTCACTCATTTTAATTCTTTCATGTCTTTTAAATACAGTTTCTAGAGGCCCACACATGCGTCTTAACGAACTACAAAAAGGCTTATTGCATTATCTATTGCTCTTTGATACGTAGTGATCGTCTTGATATTAATACTTACCCATAAAGTGTACGAAAGTTGTGTGTGGGGTTGGGGGGGGTGAACTTTCCATTTCTATCATTTACAAGGTATTTACAATTCATTAAACTTCCAGAATTTATCATAGTTTAGAAAATATGAAGAAATGTAAACTTACAAAAAACAACCTAACAGCACCTCAACTATATGACACTATAAATTTAACAATAATATTTACACTTTACCCGGAGCATATCCACGTAAAAACATTGTAAAAGTAGATGCATAAAAAGGGTACTTGCATATGATAGTACAGTCCTCAAAATGTTTTCATACTGTTCTATATTGGTTTATTGTCTACATGCATGGAGTAGTAATTAAGTAAATGATCGAGTAGTAACAGAGACGTTAGCGTATGATCGGACAAATATGTACGAATTGTTATTCTGGTCTGTATAAGTTATGTTCGTCAAAACACAAATACACATCTGTTTTGTATAAAAGAGTGTGTTTGTGGCATAATCTTTTTTCGAAACAGATCAACACTTTGTTTAGAGAATGTCTCTGTACTTGGTGTAGGGTCATGCCTCGTCACGTGCCAGAAAATATAGGGCAACCCCAGTGTACTGTCTACATGCCAAGCCAAGTTCAAAATGGAAAATAGCATAACTTTGGACCGAATAAAGGAATTTCCTTAATTATTCAATTAAATGAACAGATGTTTACGTTTTTTTTTCTTTTCTCAAAATGATATTATCGATTGTTAAAGGCCTTTGTTCACGGAAAATTTCACAAAGAAAATCGGCACTTTAAGCCATAACTTAGTGGTATTAAGACTTAAAATATTGCTAAAATTACTAAAAGTTTAGAGCTTCCCTCTTGGTCTCCCATCAGGGGCTCAGATCCTGGATCCTGCTGGGGGTCCTTTGCGAATGCTATATTTTTAGGCTCAAAACGCGACCTAGAGCTCATTATAATAAATCACTACATCATATTATTGTTTCTTACATTAACGCGCTTAAAAGATTACTGTTGGTACATAGACTAAGATTAATTGACGGACATGGCCGAATGCCCTAGTGATCTACAAAGCCACTTATAAAAATTCAAAGAGGTCGAATAAAAGCTCTTCTGACCCGATATTTTGTACCATAATAGTATTAATGAATTTGTTTTTTTGTTTTTTTTAGTACGTGACAGAATTTTAGATTAAAGTTTATTTCAAGTCAACACATCGTGCAGGAAGCTTCGAACTAAAAAAATCTTAAAATTTAAGTTCTTCCATCGAAAGGCCAACCATGATTTATGTTTGCCTATCTTAGTTGTTGTAATATTACTTGCGATATGTGAGATTAATTCATAATTAGCTACTCAGAACTATTGGTACTTCAAGTACCCACGTTGTTGATTAAAGGATTAACGATTTCAAACTTGGCTGGACTATTTGTTTGTCAAAAGTTTAGAAACAACATAAATACCAAGCGCTATTGAATTCTAACATATATAAATCAATCCGTACGCGGTAAGCCGGCCCTGTGGTTAGCGTCCCGTCACCACAAAATTAAAAATAAATCGTGCTCTCCACTTTGAGGTCGTTGATGCATTATAAGAATGACGGTTAAATCACATTATTTTATCTGACAAGAGTTGGCTGGTGTGGACTAGCAGACACACATCTAACCTATAACTTCAAAATTAAAGACGGCTAGCGCAGATGACAAACTGTGGCTGGTGTGGACTAGCAGACACACACATCTAACCTATAACTTCAAAATTAAAGACGGCTAGCGCAGATGACAAACTGTGGCTGGTGTGGACTAGCAGACACACATCTAACCTATAACTTCAAAATTAAAGACGGCTAGCGCAGATGACAAACTGTGTATGACTTTCAAAAATTAAATTATTGATGTTTCTTTTTTTTCGCTTTCGGATGCAGCATTCACCTTCTTCCCATTTACAGTGGAGCGGAAGTAGGAAGCTCTTGCACAGTGCGGAACAAATGCTGTTTAAAAGTTATTTAAAAACAATGTTTTCTAGTAGGAATTATTTATTTAACAAAATGTTAATGCACAACTAGCGTGTTAGAATGGTTGTTTGGTCACCTTATTCTAGTACACTACTATATCAGTTGTTCTTTTAGGTGCAAAGCCACCACCTGGTGGCAAAAACAACAACCTAGAAGAAAAAAATAAAACAAATTTGGTGATTTTATTTATTTGTTTGTTTTTAAATCAAAACTACGTTGGACACTGTGTCCACCGCGGGAAATCAAACTCCGGATTTTAGCGTTGTAAGTTCGTAAACTTACCGCTGTCTCACCGGGAGACATTTGTGATTTCGTTTTATTTCAATTAATCTCAATAATGGTAACAATTGCGTTACATGCTATATGTTGACTTAAATATGGATGTGAATAAGAAACGACTAGTATTTTTATGCTATTCATAAACAACATCATTTTAGATTTAGTTTTGTTAAATCTTGTTGATGATAATGTTTAAATATTGTTAATCATAAATACACTTATAAAAATATTTTACATTGTTGACCCAGTGTTTTGGTTTAGAGTTAATCCAAACTAATAAG